TTTTATTTTTGTTTTTAATTCAAGTAATTTGTTTCCATTGTGCACGGACCTTAATTCGAACATATTTTTCCTTGGCCTTCAACTTTTGTAATTTCTATTGTACACGGACCTTAAAGTTTCAATTTTTTTTTAATTTTCTCTTGAACAGACTTCGAACAGAAAACAATTTTCATTTTTATTGTACACGTACCTTAAACTGTTTTTTAATTTTCTTCTGAAAAAACTTTGAACAGAAGACAATTTTCATTCTTAAGTACCTTAAAATTTTTATTCCTTTTAATTTTCTTCTGAACAAAACTTTGAACAGAAAACAATTTTCATTTTTATTGTAAAAGGACCTTATTCAACAAAATTTGCCGTTATTTGGTTCACTGGCTAACGTTTCTATTTTCATTTTGTACGGACCTTTTTGTTCAACTTTGAAATTTTTATTGTACACGGACCTTAATGAAGACGAAAATTTAAAAATATTCAGTTGGCTCCTATTATTTGAATTTTCATTGTGTACGGAAATTGCTTTTTAGAAAATTTTGTTGATTAACAGAATTTTCTCAATGAGAAACAAAATAAAATAAAATGAAAATAAAAAGTTGGGTCTTTGTAAAAAAAATTTTAATTCTTATTGTGCGCAGACCTTAATCAAAACGCGGTTTTTTTTGGTGTTTTTCATTGTCCATGGACCTTAAACAGTATTTTAAAGTAAGCAAGAAAGTAAAAATAAAGTTGTGTTATCGTTGAATTTTTTAGTTTTTATTGTGCGCAGACCTTACACAGAACACAATTTATAACTTTTTTTAGTACAGTCCAACTTTTTAATTTCCATTGTTCATGGACCTTAATCAACAAAATTTTCCCAAAAAAAAAAATAAAATAAAAAGTTGAGTTAAGTTAGCGTGAAAGATTTTAAGTTTCATTGTGCGCAGACCTTAATTTGAAGAGACAAAGTTTAATTTTTTAGAGTTCAATTTTGAAGCTCTTATTGTCCACGGACCATTATTAAAAGAATTTTTAATATTTTCGTCAACTATTGTAGTTTTTTTTGTTTTTTTATTGTGCACGTACCTTAATCAACAAATTTTCTTAGAGTATTGTAAATGAACCATCATTTTTCAGAGTTCAATTTTAAAGCTCTTATTGTCCACGGACCGTAATTAAAAGAATTTTCAATATTTTCGTCAACTATTGTATTTTTTTTGTTTTTATTATTGAGCCCGTACCTTAATCAACAAATTTTCTTAGAGTATTGTAATTGGACCATAATAAAAATTTTTTAAATTTGTCGGCTTTTAACTTTTATTGCCAACGGACCTTAATGAAAGCATAATTTATATCTACTTGCTTAAAGTAGATTTTCATTGTGCACGTACCTTAATCAGAACATAATTTTTAATTTTTTTTTGCCCAGCATTCAAAAATGTCTCTTTTCCTCAAATTGAAACCTATCTCGAAATTTTGAACAGTTCACATTGTACAGACTTATAATACCTCTGTAAAAGTCAGTTTTTACAAAAGAAAAAGAAATTATTTTTACAATAAAAATGAAAAATGAAAAATGAAAAATAAAAAAAAAATATGAAAATTTGCAAAGTAATGAAAAAAATAAATTTTGTTTAGTCGAGAAGGAAATTCTTTAGTAGAAGTTAAGGAAATATTCTTTTTTTTCAATTTTTGTATTAGCACAGAAAAAAAAACTATTTTTTCCTTGCGACGATTCAATTATTTTTTGAAAAAAATATTTTCATATATGTTGTAGAGAGAAAAATATAAATTTGTTTTTTTGGATTCGCGAGGGAATTGTATGGGTCGCCATATCTCGTGGAGAAGCGCGATGGCCGACGAGGAGAAAATCACCCTCGACATTGCTTGTGCTATCAACCCCCTTGCATTCGCAAATGTCCCTCCCCCCTTCCCCCCCCTTCCAAAAACGCGCTCGAAGGCTCATCCTTCGAGTCTTTCCCCGGCCCCGACAGGAAGCCTCTCGCAAGAATATTCTTGACGGTGAATTCTTGGGTATCTACGAATCACCCTCAATTACCATACAGCGCTCCTCTCTCTCTCTCTCTCTCTCTCTCTCTCTCTCTCTCTCTCTCTCTCTCTCTCTTTCTCTCTCTTCGAGAACAGAGAGTATAGTCACTGCGAGGAATCGATCTTTTCGTCTCTTGACTCTGACTTGTGCTTTTCCTCAATTCATCGACTATGCATAATGGAAAAGGATAGAATCGCGAGGGTCGCTATTATTCCGTAAAGAATAATTTACAGAGGGAGAAAAAACACTACAGTGTATCTAAAATAAAAAAAAAAATTTATTTTTTAAAAATTTTCAAAATTTGCATTTTTTTTAATCCAGGGTTGCCACAAGTCAGGGAAATTAAGGGAATTGAGGAAAAAGTCTACAAACAAAAAAATCTTTACCGAAAACAGCTACAAATTTTTACTACATTAGCTAAATATTTCATTATTTCAATAAATACTTTCGCTAATTCAGAGAAACTTATCTCAGTGATTTTTATTAAAACTACACTAAAAAAAATTAAATTTTTAGAATTCACAAGAGATTCTGAACTTTTGTCTTCATTGCTTACCTCATAAACTATTAATTGAGTTTTCAAATTTATAATTTTTTAAAAAATTTAAAAAACATTTTTTACAACATTTTTTTTTTAAATTAAAAAAAATTTTTTTTTACATTTTTACGTTTACAATTTTTATAAATAAATGAACTTCAAAAGGTTTAAATTTAAAATCTTATAACTTATAACATTTCAATTATAATGAATTTAATTAGAAATTTTAATTAACTTAGATTTTGAAAAATTTTAATAATTCAAATTCTACTCATATTATAGTTAAATTTTTCATATACTTAAGTAATTATTAAAAATAATGGATTTGTAGAACAATTTTGGTTAAAAACACTAAAAAAAAATTGAATTTTCGAGAAGTGAGAATTTATTGCAAAAATTCAATTATTTTCAAAAGCAATAAAATTCTTCGCAAAAATTCAAATATTTTCCAAATTTTTAAAAAAATTCTCGTCAAAATTTCAATTATTTACAAAAATTTTCCTGAATTCTAATATGATTTTCAAAAATAAATTCTTCTCAGAAATTCAATTATGTTCAAAAAATTAAAAAAAACTTCTCGTCAAAAATTCAATTATCTTTATAAATAACAAAATTTTTCTTCGAAATTCAATTACTTTTATAAATAATAAAATTCTTTGTAGGGATTCAATTATTTTCAAAAATAATAAAATTATTTTTAGGAATTCAATTATTTTTATAAATCCTTATGAAATTCTTTTCAAAATTTTCTATTTTTAATGAAATCTTCGAAAGCATTCAATTATCTTAATAATTGATAAAATTCTTCCTAGAAATACAATTATTTTCAAAAAATTTTTGCAATTCAATGGTTTTCAATATCTATTTTCATAAATTTTCCTAAATAATTTAATTATTTAAAAAAAATTTGTTGATCAAATTCTACGCAAACTTTCAATTACTTTCGAAAATAAAAAATTACTCAAGAATTCAATTATTTTCAAATAGAATAAAATTATTTTTCGGAATTCAAACATTTTTATAAATAGTAAAGCTCATTGATGAATTTCAATTATTCTTTATACAATTTTAATTCAATTCCAAGAAAAATGCAATTATTCTTAAAAATTTCATTAAAATTCGTCGAAAGAATTCAATTTTAAAAAATAATCTATTTTTCTATAAATTATTTATTTTTATATTTAAATAATTGAATTCTGGTAGAATTTTCTAATGAAAATTGATTTGAAAATTGATTTTAGTTAAAATTTTAGATAATAATAATTGAATTTTGGTGAAGTTACTAATAAATGAAATTTTTTAGAAATAATTGAATTTTGTAAAGGTTTCAAATTAAAATCTTTAAAAATTTGAATTTTTCATACTTTTACCTAATAATTAATTTTTTTTTAAAAAGTTGAGAAATTTTTTTGTAATTATTTGATGTTTTTATTTTCTTATGTGTATTTCAATAAAAAAATTTTGAATAATTTGAATAATTGAAAATTCGTAAAATTGAATCTTAATCAAATGGATTTAAAAATTTACAAAGAACTTTTTCAAAATAATTATTAAAAATAATTGATTTGAAGAAGAAATTTCAAAATTTTATCTGGAAATCAGGAAAAGTTAGGAAAAAACAATATTAAGTTTTTGTGGCATCCCTGTTATATTTTTGTTTATATTTTTGATTTCGAATTGATTTTGCCGCCAAAATTTGGATTTAAAATTGATTTTAATGCCAAATTCATTATAAAATAAATTCTAATGCATTACGATGAATTTGCATTTATAAAATTTGAATTGATAAAATTATAAAAAAAACCTAAGTACGACAGGGGACAAAAAAGGAGGAAAACGAGTTGAAGCAAGGTTGGGTAACTATAACTCTGAATTCTTCTGATTGGCTGGTAATTTGTCCGTAATATTACCAGCCAATCAGAAACGTTGAATCCGCAACTACCCAACCCTGCTTTCGTCCATATTAGCTACTAGAACAATTTGGATTCCCTTCTTTAACAAATTGACCAATTAATCTCCCAAACGGATTTTTAATTACCGATTTCATTGATTGAATAAAATTCATTTGAAGTTCGTTTCAGAAAATTGAAAGTTTTTTTTTCAAAAAAATAGTTGAATCGCACAGAGAAAAACTCCTGGGCATAATAGTTGGACTAAAAGGTTAATGTGGTTAATACCGATTCAATCCAATCCCTTGTAGTCTCGCCAGGATCAGAAAAATTTTAAAAAAAAAGATTTCCAGAAGAAAATTAAAAAAAATTTTTGTTTTAAATTTTAAAAAATCGGAAAAAATTGAAAAGGCTTTTAATAAATTCAAAAGACTTTTAAAAAATTGAAAAGACCTAATAAATTGAAGACTTAAAAAACTGAAAAGACTTAATAAATTGAAGACTTAAAAAATTGAAAAAAAATTTTTAAAAAAATTAAAAAAGAATGTTTCAAAAAGGACCAATAAAAATTGTATTAAAGTGCAAAAATTTGTCACTATCAAGTATAAAACGGGTGTTTGTCAAGAGTTACCCTGCTTGATCCGGGTTTGTCAGCGTCTACATGGATTTCTACTATTGTTTTGGTCTTTTCTATAGTATCACAATTGGGCAACGAGAGTCAATGTAAAAAAAAGAGTTCCCCAAAATCAATGACATTTTTTTTGTTTTCTTTTTTTTTATGATTGCTAGTGTCGGTTCTTTTCGTTGGTATGTGTTTTTTTTTTTTTTTTTTGATTCACTCACTGGCGTCGGAATTGTGCACTGGTGTTGTTGCTGGAGTGTTGCTGGTTTGATGGTGTTGCGCAACTTGTGTCGGTATCCCGAGAGAGGCGAGAAGAGGCCGGGACACAGCTGATGGTGCCGGAGGTGGCGGTGGCGGGCTCTCCTGGCCAACGAGCAAACTCGCCGGCGGGAACCCGAAGAGCTGGGATCACTGAAGCCTCGGCCAATAATTACCCGTGAGGTCTGGTGTCTGAGAGGGAATCTGCACTGGCACTGAGACACCTGCCGATATCACACCTGTAACACAAGAATGTGGGCAATTTTTATTTTTTATTTCTTCTTCTCTTTTTGTTTCATTACTATGAAATGGTAATTATTTTATTATTAGTAAGTTCTTCAAGTGACGGTTTAACGTATTTTAAATTCCTTGGTATTTGTTGGGTATTTCTTTTCTCTTCGAGTGTTTCAAGTAATCTACAGTATCGGCCACGGAGAATTCATTTGTGGCGCGACTTTTATAAAATATTTCACGCTTGAAAGAGAGACAGAGGGGGGGGGGGGGGGTTTATAAGCAATTTGTGGTAATTTGTATAAAAATAAAAAAATGATCTTCTTTTGTACAATAGTTTAAATTTATCCATATATACAGTTTAAAATAAGTTAAAATAAGCTAACAATATTATTATTCTATTTTTATAAGATTATAAGGCCTAAACTTTATTCTTTATCTAATTTGGAAAAGTTGATTAATATTTTTAAACTTTTTGAACCATGGTCAACGACAATAATCAAAATTATAAAAATAATAATAAAAAAAAAGAAAAAATAAATTTATAAAAATTTATATATTTTAACTGTGGGCAAAATCTGTCGAACCATGCGGCCAATGACAAAAAATAATCGAAATTCAATTATTTCGAAAATCTATTATTTTCATAAAATTTTCGAATTATTCAATTATTTAACAAAATTCTTATAAAATTCTTCACGATAATTCAAATGCTTTTACTAATAATAACATTTTTCATGGAAATTCAATTTTAAAAAAAAAATTATTGTTTGACAAAATTCTAATTCTTTAAATTAATTAATCGACAAATTTAATTATTTTCACAAATATAGAGTTTTCAAGAAGAATTCAATTATTTAAAAAAATGCTAATAAAATCGTTAGTAAGAATTCAATTATTTCCATAAATAATAAAATTCATGGCAGGATTTCAATTATTTTTAATACAATTTTACAAGAATTGGTTATAAAATGTAATTATTCTTAAAAATTTAATTTCAATTCCTCGAAAAAATAAACTATTTTAACAAATTGTATCTTTAAAATTCTTTGGAAGGATCCAATTATTTACAAAAATATTTAAATTTTTCACAGGAATTCAATTATTTTCAAATATTTTATAGTAAAATTGTTCGATAAAATTCAATTATTTTAAGTACAATTTTAATTACATTTTTTGAAATAATTCATTTCTTTTAGATTTTAATAAAATTCCTCTAAAGAATTCAATTATTTACATAAATAATTTTTCGAAAGAATTCAATTATTAAAGATAAATAACAAAATTATTTTCGAAAATTCAATTATTTTGAGGCATTTTAATAAAATTCTTTGCAAAATTCAATTATCTTCATAAATAACAATATTCATTACAAGAATTCAATTATTTTTAAAAATAATAAATTTCTTCTTAGAAATTCAATTATTTAAAAAAGTTCTAATAAAATCGTTCGCAAGAATTCAATTATTTTCATAAATAATAAAATGCATTTTAGGAATTTCAATTATTATTAATACTATTTTAAATGAATTAATGGAAAAATTCAATTATTTCCAAAAATAAATTTTTCCACAAGAATTCAATTATTTAAAATAAAATTTTCATAATATTTATTATTTTTCGAAAAATGTAATTTTTTAAAACAATTTTTATAAAATTCTTATGAAGAATTCAATTATTTTCAAAAATAACAAAAATTTAACAGAAATTCAATTCTTTAAAAATATTTTAATAAAATTTTCCGCAGTAATTCAATTATTTTCATAAATAAGAAAATTCTTCTCAGGAATTCAATTATTTTAAAAATTTTAATATAATTCTTTGCAGCTATTCAATTATTTTCATAAATAATAAAATTCATTGCAGGATTTCAATTATTTTTAATACAATTTTACAAAAATTGGTCATAAAATATAATTATTCTTAAAATTTTAAATTCCTCGAAAAAATCAATTATTTAAAAAAAGTTTTTTTTTAAATTCTTTGGAAGAATTCAATTATTTATAAAATTTTTTGAATTTTTCACAGGAAGTTTCAATATTTTGAATTATTTTTACAAAGTTGTTCGTAAGAAATAAATTATTTTAATTAAATTGTTTTGAAATAATTCAATTATTTTTTTAGATTTTAATAAAATTCTTCTCTAGAATTCAATTATTTACATAAATAATATTCTTCGAAAGAATTCAATTATTTCGATGAATAACAAAAATTATTCCTGAAAATTCAATTATTTTAAGGGATTTTATTAAAATTACTTTGCAAAATTCAATTATTTTCATAAATAACAAAATTCATCATAAGAATTCAATTATTTTTAAAAGTATAGGTAATTAATTTTTTCTTGGAAATTCAATTATTTAAAAAACTTTTAATAAAATATCGTTCGCAAGAATTTAATTACTTTTATAAATAATAAAATTCTTTTCTTAAATAATAAAAAATTTCTTAGGAATTCAATTACTTAAATTAGAATTTGCTTAAAATTAGTCGAAAGAAATGAATTATTTAGAATTTTTTATAAAATTCTTCGCAAGAATTAAATTATTTTTATAAATATTAAAATTTTTTCATGAAAACTAAATTTCGTTGCAGGAATTTAATTTATTATCAGGATAAGAAAGAAAGAAATATTTTTTTGATGAAAATTAGGAAAAATCAGGAAAAAAAATATGGAATAGAATTATGTTTGTCAGTTTTGTGAAATATAATATCTAAAACGAGTTTTTTTTGGTCAAGTTTAATTTTTAGATAGCTATTATTTTTACTACTTTTTTTTTAGTTTAATAGCTACTTTTTGCTACTTTTTCTAAAATTAATTATCGACTGAAAAGTCTGAAATATACAAAATTTTAGGATTTAAACTATATATTTCCGCCGTCGGCAATGGTTTGCTAGATTTACAACTTTTACTAAAAATTAAAGAAATTTCGTGTTTAAAAATATTCTTATTTTTCCCCATGGTTTTTAAAATTTTTTCCATTAGTTGAAACTTGAAAATTGTAAATTTTTAATATAGTATTTTTGTCATTCGAATTATATAGAATCGCTGAAATATATAATATTACTAAGGGCCGCAGTTTCACCAACTCCGATTAAAAAGTTATAATCGATGATTAAAGTCATAGTCTAACCGACCATGATTGGTCGGTTAAGGATTTAATCATTAACATATAATCGGAGTTGTTGAAACTGGCCCTTAATCATTAATTAACCTTTAATCAGAGTTGTTGAAACAGTCCCTAAATTTTAAAGAATAAGTATAAATATTTCTCGTTCATTCTAAAACTTAGTATGGCTCGATAAAACATCTGAAAATGGATTCTCTAAAATCTCGACATGCATGAAGATTGGCGAGAAAGTTATGTTGCGCTTATATATATATATACTTGAAGGTAAAGCGATTATGATGGATAATGCGACACGTTGGTCGGCGCGTTCACCTATAAGAAGGAAATCGTTTCTCTCCGCCGCTGAGTTTTTGTGTCTGTGTGTGTGAGTGTGTTGCTTGGTGATAACTTGTGCAAAAAGATATAACACGAACAGTAGATAGTTGCGAGTGTAGTAGAATATAGTAGAGGTTGTGTATGCCCCCTATTTCCTCCCCTTTGGGTTCGCACGTTATTGAGCGCTCGCCCAGCCGAGGCGAGACCCAACCCATCCACATTCTCTGCTCACCCCGGCATACTATCAGGAGAGATAGGATGAGAAAGATGGGATGGTTGTCCTCCCTTCGGCATTGGAGGGAGATCAGGACTGTACAGAGTGGAATCCTGGTGTTCCAACCCCCTAAGGATTAACAGGGTCACTCCCTTACCGGATTATATAGTCTCCAAACATTTTTTTTTTTTTTTTCATTCTCCATTCTTTCACAGCTCCAAAAAAAAACCCCTCCACAACAATTTTAGAAGAGTTCCTTGTTCCTAGTGGGTTTTTATGAATTTATTAACAAATTTACCCCTTTGGATCTTTTATATAATATGTTGCAGAGGGGAAAAAGATTCTACTTCTCATTAGGGATCCAGTTTTTGCTTTTGTTTTCTTGAATTTTTCCCAGATTCATCATTTTCTGAATGTGAGTAGATATTCCAACACTAAAGTTCACCCAAGTGTTGGAATATCTACTTACAGCCCTGATGAAACGGAGAAACGATGAGAGCGATCAGAGAGAGGGAAGTGAGGGTGCGAGAATCGAGAAAATGGAAAATTCGAGGAGAGAAAGAGAGAGAGAGAGAGATAGGAGGAGGATGGAGAGAAAACCACGGAACATTCAACTCCTGCCCCCTCAACTTTTCGTTGCGATCCATCGTCATTCTTCGATTCAGCCCACGGCGCCATGCGAGATTTGTTTTCAAATCCTTTTTACAATTCAACCCCCGTTCCTATATGTGCGCCTCTCGCGTATAGTCGCTTCCTATGTAGATGGCGTGCGAATTCGCTCATGGATAATCTGTCTTGTTTTCCTTTTCTTTTTGTCGCATTTCCACACACACACACACATTTCTTCTTCTATTGCCAAATGGAACTGGAGGCTTATTTTTCGAATAAGAAGAAGGTAGAAATTTTATACACATTATCAGAGAAAAAAAGTACGTGAATTCTATTAATATTTTCATTTTCATCATACTAGGGATTTTAAAGGGTTTTTTCCGCCTAAAAAGGGGTAGAATTTTATATAAAAGAACGTTTCTTCAATCCAACAAGTAATAATGAAACTGAACAGTGTAGGTTCATATCAAAGCCTACTACGGAGTGGACTCCCAGGCCACACCTTCAATTTTGTTAAAATTTACTGAAACCGATACAGACTTTCGACTGTTGGTCATGATCTAAATCTTCCTCAGACAAAAACCAATCTTAAAAATAAATTTTCTTCACTTTCAAAACGTCTAAAACATTTTATTTCATATAAGTAATCGATCTAATCACATTTCATTTCCAAAAATAATATAGAAAAAAAATAATATATAGTATATTTCATATCATATACAGAAATATAGTTTTCATA